ATTCCCACTTTCTGGATACTAATCTTATTGGTTGATAGCACCAAGTTTTGGGCTGTGTTGTAAGAAACCATCCAGCTATGGCTGCTTTTTGCTATCATTTTCCCCTTTGTTCAGGAAATATTGTCATGAACATGTTGTAAAGACAGCAAGAGAGAAAAGGTGGTTTGTTTTATGGAAACTATTATTAGAGATACTTGTGTTAGGGTTATGAACTAAGGTCTGGAATAAAGGGGAAATTTAGAATTGTCGTCAAAAACAACAGTTCTCAAATCTGGGGTTGTGTGTCATAATGGGAAGAGATGGCCTCTAGCCCTGGCTCTGCCACAGCTGTGTGACTCATGATAATCCATTCATTCATTCATTCAACATTTTTGGAGTATCCACTCTGTGTCAGACACTATGTTCAGCACTGGGGCCACATTCTGAGGAATAGATAAGGAACCTGTTCTCTAATCACACAACTTCTCCAAACCCCATTTCTTTATGTTTGCAGTGCAAGGGCTGCACTACTATGAGCTCTCAACGACCCCTACCCCTGCTTCTTGATTCTTTTCTGTGGGAGCAAAATGTGCCTGGAAGAACAGTAACAGGAAAAGTGGTACCAATATCACATGCCAGACATTATGCTAACTAATCACTTTTATATGCATTGCTTCATTTTGTTTTCTCAAGAATTTCCTAAAATAGGTATTATTAGGCTCATTTTCCAGATGAGGATATTAAGACTCAGGAGGTTGAGCTGCCTTTTGTTATAAGCAAGAAAGAGGCAGAGTCAGACTCAAACCCAGCTCAGCTGATTCCAAACCCAGCATTCTTCTCTCCTCTTCTGTTCATGTTTTAGAAAGCTCATTCATCTCCCCTGGACTTTACTCTGGGAGTACTTATAAAAATTTTACTCAAGAATCTTATTCATCCCAAGAGTGATCCTGCCACTTCAGCAAAGACCAGCACTCCCACTGCTTTGCCTCCATTTGTGCTTACCTTCCACCAGGAATCCTTTTCTATATTGTTTGTTGCCAAACTCTGCGTCCTTTCCCAAACTTTATCTTACTCCTAAGTTTAATTCATTCATCCCCTCATAGTTGTCCAACACAGTAGGAAATTCAAAAAAGAGTCCCTGGGCATATCTTTGAAGGAAAATAAGGCAGACACAGATTGCAGGAAGAATTATAGCCTGAAATAAAGAGTCATGGGCTATTTATTAGTTAGTGTTTCCCTGCAAGGAGAGGTCTGTGGTAGGAGATGCTTCAAAAACTGTCCAAGGGCTTCCTTATGCTACCTTTTCCTCAAAGATGCCTTTTTCTGTTTCTCTCTTTGTTTTTTTTTTCTGATTATACACTGTCACTGCAGAAAATCTGAAAACTATCCACTCTTCAGAGATAATCACGATTAACATTTGGTGTATTTCCTTCTGTGATGGTTAATTTTATGTCACCTTGGCTAGGCTATAGTGCCCAGTTGTTTGGTCAAACACAAGTCTAAATGTTGTTGCAAAGCTTTGTTTTGTTTTTATTTTTAAGATGTGATAAACACTGAAATCAGTAGACTTTGAGTAAAGTGGACTACCCTCTGTAATGTGTGTGAACTTCAATAAGTTGAAGATCTTAAGAATAAAGACTGAGGTCTCCTGAAGAGGAGGCACTCTTCCGCAAGCCTTGCAATGTAGAAATTCTGGGTTTCTAGCCTATCAGCCTACTATACCAATTTCAGATTTGCCAGCCTGACAATTACATGGGCAGTTCCTTAAAATACATCTTTCTCTCTGTCTCTTTCTCTCTCTCTCTCTCTCTCTCTCTGTCTCTCTCTCTCTCTCTATATATATATATATATATAAAATTTATACACACACACACACACACATATAGGGGGTGTGTGTGTGTGTGTGTGTGTGTGTGTGTGTGTATGCATGTATTCATATATACTTGAATGTAAGTATATCCTATTGGTTCTGTTTCTCTGGAAAACCCTGACTGACATACTTTCATTTTACTCATTTCCTCTCGATTAGCACTTTTCAAACTGTCTTGTCTGTGTGTGAATCATCTGTGTGTGAATCACTTGTCTTATTGAAGTGCAGCCTCTAAGTCAGTGGTGGTGGGCTAAGATTCTGTATTTTGAACAAGGTCCCACGTGATGCCTATGCTTCTGGTCTATGGAACACATTTTGTGTAGCAAGGCCTTATATGATCAACTGTTTCTTTTAAATTATATCATGAGCTCAGTTATTCTGAAACATTAACTTGTAACTCTATTGCACTCCATTATATGAATTGCCATAAATTAGATACATTCAGGCTTTGGAAGCATATTTCCCCTAGGCTCTTTATAAATGAGTCCAAGTATAATCTCACCCAAAGGCCTGGCTTCTGTAGCACAATAGAAAAATAGTAGAAATGTAGAAAAATTGTCCAAATGTAATCTCACTGAAAGGCCTGGTTTCTATAGCAAATCAGGCCTGCATGCTCAGACCATGGTTTCATGGGCTTCCCTTAGCTTTTTTTTCTTTACTTGTTATTTCAATAGCTACAAAAATTCCCTTGACTTTTGTCTGGGTGCTCATATTATTAGTCTCTGCTGGGAAGGGGAATCTACTGAATAGATATGGTTCTCAGAAGTCATTCATACATTCTTCATTTATTCATGTAATAATATTACTCAATTATCTCATCAGTGGGTGTTATAGGCACCATGCTGGAAACTGTATTCAGGGGTTTGATTTAATAACTAATCAATCATAAAGTGAATATAATTGTAGTTATGATAATTAAATGGTGATATAAGTATATGACAAGAAACTGGTCTAATCTAAGGGTCAGGGACACTTCCTATGGAAGTGACATTTCAGTTGAGCTCTGGTTGTTTGGGGATATGCCACTCAGTTCCCTAACTTTTGGCTAGTCCTTTTTGAATAGGTGGAGGCTCTGATGACAAAATCTTGGAAGTCACCTTTAGTGAGAGGTGGCACACATGAAGTCTCCAAAGATCTCCCTAGAGATCCATTGTAGCTGCTGCTCCTCATTCTCCCTGTCATGCTCTTATGGAGATGACCCTCCAAGGGAATTCCCCTTCTGTCTGCTCCTGGGTAGCATCTCAGTTTCCTTCTGCTGAATATGAACACAATCTGATTTCCCATCCATCTCCATTTGTTACAGGAAATGCAGCCTAAATAACAAGTTATCATAAGGTAATTCATCATAGGAAAATATTTTGATCTTTGAATCAGTCATTATTTTGAACACTCTGCCTCTGCTCTTTCCATTAACGTGGATAATGATAGTTGAAAAGAAATTGGTACTACAAAGCTACAGTAATGGAAACAATATGGCACTGGCAGAAGGATAGACATATAGAACAATGGAATAGAATTGAGAGTTGAGAAATAAATCTGTATATTTATGGCCAATTGATTTTTGAAAAGGGTGCTGAGACCATTCAATGAGGAAAAGAATATTCTCTTCAACAATTGGTGCTGGGCCAACTGTATATCCACATGGAAAAAAAGGGGAGTTGGACCCCTACCTCATACTATATATAATAATTAACACATATGGCCAATATCCTAAACATAAGAGCCAAAATAATAAACTCTTTTGAAGAAAAAATAGGGGTTAAATCTTCATGACCTTGGATTTGGCAATACATTCTTAAATATGACACCAAAATAAGGAACAACAAACAAAAATAGATAAACTGAACTTCATCAAACTTAAAAGTGTTTATGTATTGAAGCACATTGTTTTAAAAATGAGAAGACAACCTACAGAATGGAAGATAATTTCAAATCATACATCTAATAAGGACTTGGTATCCAGAATATATGTAGAATTCTTACAACTCAACCACAGAAAGACAAACAACCCAACTAAAAAAAAATAGTCATGTACCTTCAATAGACATTTCCCCAAAGAATATATACAAATGGCTAGCAAGTATATGAAAAGATACTCATATCATTATTCATTAAGGGGATGCAAATGAGGTACCACTTCAAGCCCACAAGGAAATTTGTTTCAATGAGAAATAAGTGTTGGTGATGTGGAGAAATTGGAACCCTTATAGATTGCTAGTGGGTATGTAAAATGGTGCAGCCACTGTAGAAAACATTTTGGTGGCTTCTTAAAAAGTTAAGCATAGAATTACCATATGACCCAGCAATTCTACTCCTAAATATATAGCCAAAAGAATTGAAACCTGATATTCAAACAAATAGATGTACATAGTCAAAATATCTAAAAGATGGAAACAATCCAAATATTCATTAACAGATTAATGGACTTTCAAAATGTGGTTTTTCCATTGAATAACATATTATTCATTAAAAGGATTGAGGTGTTCATACATGCTACAATGTGCATGAAACTCAAAAACATTACACTAAGTGAAAGAAGCCAGGAACAAAAGGCCACATATTATGTAATTCCATTTATATGAAATATTCAGAATAGGTAAATTTATAGAGACAAAACACAGATTAATGATGCCAGGGCCCAGGAGGAAAGGAGTATAGGCAACAATTGCTTCATGGATACAGGGTTTCCTTTTCGGTGATGAAAATGTTTTAGAACTACATATAGGTAGGTGCTGGTTGCACAATATTATGAATAATTAAATAACTTCTATAAGTGGTTATTTTTTTAATTTAAAAAAATTTTTTTAAAGAGACAGGGTCTTGCTGTGTTGCCCAGGTTGGCCTTGAACTCCTGGCTGAGGTGATCCCACTGTCTCAGCCTCCCAAGTTGCTGAGACTACAGGCATGCACCACTGTGCCTGGGTTAAGTGACTTATTTTTTGTTATATAAGTTTTACCTCGATAAAATATTAAAAAATTTAAAAAGTAATCAAGACTAGATTCTTTCCCTCTTGTGTCTGCTATGTTTCATGGTTAATTAAAAAATTTTAAGACATAGTAACATATTTATGACTTATCTTTGGTTATTACTACCTGGGGTTTTTATCATGCTAATGCCTTCTCTCATTATTTTCTACTCCGTATAATTCAGATTTCAGTCCAAGGCTTCAGGTACATTGCAAACAGCTGCACTGGAATTCTTCATCTTATCATTAATGACATGCCAACTCTGACAGACAACTGTGTAAAAGTAGGTAGTTGGAAAGTACATTTTCTTTTCTGTCCTATAAGATGGATATATGTTCTAATGGCTTGAATTACTGAAAAATATGAATGGACTTTTCATTTTAGTTATTTTTTAAATAGTAATACAATTATTTAAAAGTTTCCACACACCCACATACCCTTGAAAACATTTGAATCCTTAAATATCCCAAGGCACCTTATTTCACAGGATTTTTTTTTTTTTTTAGTGATTTTATAGCCTAAGCATAAACTTTGAGTTTAGTTCTCCATGTTAAGCTGCCAAATGTAATTTTTTTCAGTAATCAATTTCTCATGTTTCCCCATACTCTTAGTACATGATTTAATTCTGATTTCTCCACATTACTCAAGTGTAAGTGTATTAACATGTATTGAAAAATCTAATTTTCTTTGAAATTAGGAAAATTAATAGTTAACATGTCTGTTTCTAATATATTGTAGGAAAAAATGGCTTTATTACCTTGCTAAACCTATTCTGAACAGTTGATTAATTTAATCATTTTTTCTTCTGAAGGCTTTAGTTGAAAAGTGCTCTCATATTACATCAATGATTTTCACTGGTGCACCGCATATCTCTGATTGTACTTTCAAAGCTCTGTCTACTTGTAAACTCAGAAAGATCCGATTCGAAGGTTTGTTATATTAAAAACATGGTTCCACATTATCATTTACTTTTACTCTTGTGGCATTACAAATATACTTGTCTTTTCTTCTCTTTTTTAAAAACAGGAAATAAAAGAATTACTGATGCATCCTTCAAATTTATGGACAAGAATTATCCAGATCTCAGTCACATTTACATGGCTGACTGCAAGGGAATAACAGACAGCAGTCTCAGGTCTCTTTCACCTTTGAAGCAATTAACTGTGTTGAATTTGGCAAATTGTGTAAGGTAATGAGTCATTCAGTCATATATTCAAGAAACACCAATTATCTAGTATGTGCCAGGTCCTCTTCTAAGGAACTTATGGTTTGTGGGGTAAACATGAAAGTCAGGAGTCCAGGAATTAATGTAGAGGTAAGCACAGAGTACTGTGGTTATAAAAAAGAGGGACTCCCAACCCAGGCTGATTATATGAGGGGAAGGGAGAGCTCAGGATATGAGGAATTATGGACCCTTGTAAAATTAAGGAAACCCAAAGGAATATTTATGGGCTACCTTTCCTAATGAGGGTTCCCAGAGCTAGTTTAGTTAACAGGATCTTTTCCCATATAAACTTTCTGACTTGCTTATGAAAAACCAATATCACTGGGTACTGATTAGATTTTTCCCCCTTGGGTACTGGTTAGATTTTTCCTCCGTGTAGAATTTCTGTCAAATGGACAAAGGGTGAGTTCTTACTGAAATCCTTTCTTTGGCTGTGTCACTATTGGACTACTCTCCTGAAATTCTCAGGATCAAATTCTTTTTTTTTTTTTTCTTCTTTTTTTAGATGGAGTCTCATCTGTTGCTCCAGCTGGAGGGCAGTGGCACAATCTCAGCTCACTGCAACCTCAGACTTGTGTGCTCAAGTGATTCTCCAGCGTCAGCCTCCTGAGTAGCTGGGATTACAGGTGTGTGCCACCACACCTGGCTAATTTTTGTATTTTTAGTAGAAACAGGGTTTCACCATGTTGGCCAGGCTGGTCTTGAACTCCTGACTGCAAGTGGTCTGCCTGCCACAGCCTCCCAAAGTGCTGGGATTGCAGGCATGAGCCACCACACCCAGCCAAGGATCAAGAGGTTTCTTGCTGAAACCCCTTCCCCAGAGGGTAGCTCAGCCTCTTACCTATGTAGAATTCTTATAATCTTAGAGGGCCAGCTAATAACAAAATAGCATTTGATCCACAAAATAGTACTTGATCCACATTGAAGTTGGGTAATATTTGGGAAAGCACAAGTCAGCATAATAATCTAAGCTACACGGAATCTTTTATGTGTTTTTTTTTTTTTTTTGAGACAGGGTCTCACTCTGTTGCCCAGGCTGAAGTACAGTTGCACAGTCACTGTAACCTTGAATTCCTGGGCTCAAGTGATTCTCCTGCCTCAAGCCACCCAAGTAGCTAGAACTAGAAGGCACACTCCATCATATCCAGCTAATTTTTTAAATTTGTAGAGACAGGGTCTCATTGTATTGTCCAGGCAGGTTTCAAACACCTGGCTTCAAGTGATCCTTCCACCTTGGCCTCCCAAAATGCTCGGATTATAGGCATGAGCCACTGCACTGGCTCACTGCACAGAATCTCAACCTATGTTGCCTATTAAAATGGGGAGGCAGCCCGGGTCAGTCAGGGCTGGAGGAGATATAAAGGTTTGGAATGGGAAAAACCTGTATTAGGAAATAAGGGCTCCAGCCAAGGGCCAGTGAGGAATTAAAGCCTTCTGTCAACAGCCATGTGAGTGAGCCTGGAAGCAGACCCTACAGTCCCAGTCAAACTTTCAGATGACTTAAGAGACCCCGAGCTAGAACCACCCTAGTTCACTTCCAGATCCATGAGATCCAGAAACTGGGAGATAATAAATGTTTGCCATTTAAGCCACAAAGTTTAGATCAATTTGTTACATAGTAATAACTGTGAGAAACACACACACACACAAAAAAAACAAATGCATGTACGCTACATACACAACTGTGTGTGTATCAACTAATTCTATCTGTATGAATATGTGAAATAAAACTGAATTATATTCTTATATTTCACTCAGCTTTCTGCAGATTAATCTTTTTTTTCCTTTTTTTTTGAGTCTCACTCTGTCACCCAGGCTGGAGTGCAGTGGTGCCATCTTGGATCACTGCAACCTCCACTTACTGGGTTCAAGAGATTGTTCTGCCTCAGCCGCCCGAGTAGACAGGTGACAACCATCATGCCTGGCTAAGTTTTGTATCTTTGTAGAGACAGTTTCACCATGTTGGCCAGGCTGGTCTTGAACTCCTGACCTTAGGTGACCTGCCTGCCTCAGCCACCCAAAGTGCTGGGATTACAGGCGTGAGCCACCGCACCTTGCCTAATTAATCTTAAATGGAAGTTTTTTGCCTCGAGAAGTAGAGGTGACAAGACACTTCAAAGGGCTATGCCAAAAATACTTCAGATTCTTGATGAAATATATTTTCAATATATTACTGAGCTCACAAAGAGTAAGAGAAATATCCAGTAGCCTTCAATCTCCTGATTCTTTGCTACTCTCTCAATGAACAAATTCACTGAGATGAGTAGTGAGTAGCCAGCAAACATAAAAGGTTGAGCAGCTCCAAGCACAAATTTTATGACAATATTGCCTTTGAGAGAATCAGCTCTGAGCAAGACTCAAAGTAGGGAGGCAGAACCTGAGACTTCTGCAGGGTTTGTACCTCCTTAAGGGGGACAGAGTGGTCTCAGGAGGTAGTTCCTGAATTCCTGAAAGGCATTAGCACAAAGCTTCTCAGGCTAGAGATTAAGATCAAATAAATACAGAACAACCCAGGATTGAAGCTCTCGGTGAATGCGCAGAGAGGTGAGTCAGAGCTGCATTTCCAGACTGATCTTTGTTGCCCACAGAACGGGGAAATTCCCAGGTATAGAGGAGATGTGGGACGCCAGGCAGAGGTTTTGGCTGGTGCAGCCAGCAGTCGGGGTGGCGGCAGCCAGCCCTACACAGCACTCCGCACAGGGCGCGCTTGTACGGGTGCCCTGTTGAACCAGCAACCTGAGACTTGAGAGGGCTGAACTTGAGACTGAACGGGACTTGGACAGTGGGCCAGCCCAGGGGATTGCAGGGACACAGCGTTTGGGGTAGTGCAGTGGGACGGACAAAACAATGATTCCAAATGCTCCCAGTGGAGACGTTCCCTGAGACGCTCCGTGGGGGAGGGGCATCCACCATTACCGAGGCAATCCGCCCTTACTGAGATACACGCCCACTGCTGATGCAGCCTGCTATTACTGAGGCAACCCGATACAACAGAGAGACTCCGCCACAGGGCATAGCCCATGGCAGCAGGGCGGAGACTGCAGCAGAAAAGCAGAGCCTGCAGCAACAGGGTGAACTTCACAACAGCAGGGCGGAGCCTCGGCAGGCAAATACTGACTAGAATGCCTCCTAGCTGGGCAGGACACCTCAATGGACATCCAAAAATAAAGCCCCAACCCCCCAAGACAGAGCATCTGAGAAAAAAAGGGTTTTTTAATGAGCTCTGTTGCAGCAGAATTAAACATAGCAGCCTAACAGCCCTGAATGAACAACAGAGCTCACAGCTCAGCAATTGAGCTCCTATAAAGTACAGACTGTCTCCTCAAGCAGCTCCCTGACCCCTCTATATCCAAAAGACTGACATTTGGCAGGCATCATCCTGGGACAAAGATAGCAGAAAAAGAAACTGGTAGCATCCCTTACTGTTCCGCAGCTGCTATAGGTGCAACCCACACAAGCAAGGCCTGGAGTGGACCTCAGCAGTCGTACAGCGAAGGGGCTCGACTGGTAGAAGGAAAACCAAGTAACAGAAATACTTCATCACCAACAATCTGGGCGTCCACTCAGAGACCCAATCGAAAAGTCAGCAACTACGCAGATGACAGGTGGATAAATCCACAAAGATGGGAAGAAACCAGCGCAAAAAGGAGGAAAACACCCAAAACCAGAACACCTCGCCTCCTAGAAAGGACCAAAACTCCTCACCGGCAAGGGAACAAAGCTGGACGGAGAATGACAGTGACAAAATGACGGAATTAGACTTCAGAAGATGGATAATGAGAAATTTTGTGAGCTAAAAGAACATGTATTAAATCAATGCAAAGAAACTAAGAACCTTGAAAAAAGATTCGAGGAAATGATAACAAAAATGGATAACTTAGAGAGGAATATGAATGAACTAAAGGAGCTGAAAAACACAATACGAGAACTTCGCGAAGCATGCACAAGTTTCAATAGCCGAATTGACCAAGCAGAAGAAAGAATATCTGAAGTCGAAGATCAACTCAATGAAATAAAACGAGAAACCAAGATCAGAGAAAAAAGCGCAAAAAGGAATGAATAAAGTCTCCAAGAAATGTGGGATTATGTGAAAAGACCTAACCTATGTTTGATAGGTGTACCATAATGTGATGAAGAGAATGAATCAAAGCTGGAAAATACTCTTCAGGACATTATCCAGGAAAATTTCCCCCACCTAGCAAGACAGGCCAACACTCAAATGCAGGAAATACAGAGAACACCACAAAGATATTCCACAAGAAGAGCAACTCCAAGGCACATAATCGTCAGATTCAACAAGGTTGAAATAAAGGAGAAAATACTAAGGGCAGCCAGAGAGAAAGGTCGGGTCACCCACAAAGGGAAGCCCATCAGACTCACAGCAGATCTCTCGACAGAAACACTGCAAGCCAGAAGAGAGTGGGGGCCAATATTCAACATTCTTAAAGAAAAGAACTTTCAACCCAGAATTTCATATCCAGCCAAACTGAGCCTCATAAGTGAAGGAAAAATAAAATCCTTTGCAAACAAGCAAATACTCAGAGATTTTGTCACCACCAGGCCTGCTTTACAAGAGCTCCTGAAAGAGACACTACACATAGAAAGGAACAACCAGTACCAGCCATTCCAAAATCACACTAAATGCTAAAGAGCATCAACATAATGAAGAATCTACAACAACTAACGGGTAAAACAGCCAGCTAGCATCAAAATGGCAGTATCAAATTCATACATAACAATATTAACCCTAAATGTAAATGGACTAAATGCACCAATCAAAAGACACAGACTGGCAAATTGGATAAAAATCCAAAACCCATCAGTGTGCTGTATCCAGGAAACCCATCTCACATACAAGGATACACAAAGGCTCAAAATAAATGGATGGAGGAAGATTTACCAAGCTAATGGAGAGCAAGCAAAAGCAGGAGTTGCAATTCTCATCTCTGATAAAATAGACTTTA